TTTTTTTTTTTTAGACGGAGTCTTGCTCTGTGGCCCAGGCTGGAGTGCAGTGGCATGATCTTGGATCACTGCAACCTCTGCCACCTGGGTTCAAGCGATTCTCCTGCCTCAGCCTCCTGAGTAGCTGGGACTACAGGTGCATACCACCATACACAGCTAATTTTTTTTTTTTTTTATAGTTTTAGTAGAGACTGGGTTTCACCATGTTAGCCAGGATATCCTCAATCTCCTGACCTCGTGATCCACCCACATCGGCCACCCAAAGTGCTGGGATTACAAGCATGAGCCACTGGGCCTGGCCCCTTTAGCCATTCTTTTAGAGGAGTTATGTTGGTGACGGGTTCTATAAGTGTTCCTTCATCTGAGAATGTCTTGATTTCCCCTTCATTTCTGAAGGATACTTACTTTTGCTGGATATTGAATTTTGGTTTGACAGTTCTTTTCTTTGAGTACTTGAATAATGTGCCACTTCTTTCTGGCCTTTGTAGTATCTAACAAGAATTCCTCTGTTTTTTTCTTATACATAAGAAATTGCCATTTCTTTCTCAATTCTATGTTTGTCTTTAGCTTTCAGAAGTTTGATTATTATGTGTCCTAATGTGGTTTCTTTGGCTTTATCCTGTTTGGGGCTCACTTTGTTTCTTTAATCTGTACATTTATGTCTTTTGCTAAATTTGAATACTTTTCAGCCATTATTTCTTCAATTATTTTTTAAGCCCATCTCCCCTCTCCTCTCTCTCCAAGACAGGAATGTTAGACCTTTTGTTATAATCCTACAGGTCCCTGAGATTCTATCTATTTTCTTTGAAGTTTGTTTTCTCTCTGTTGTTCAGATTGGGTAAGTTCTATTGCTCTATCTTCAAGTTAACTGATGCTTTGCTCCATGATCTCTATTCTGATATTGAACCCATCCACTGAGTTTCTCATTTTGGTTGTTGTATTTTTCAATTCTAAAATTTCCTTGTGGGCCAGGTGTGATGGCTCACACCTGTAATCCCAGCACTTTGGGAGGCTGAGGCAGGCAGATCACGTGAGGTCATGAGTTTGGGACCAGCCTAGCCAACATGGTGAAACCCTATCTCTATTAAAAAAATAAAATTAAGCTGGGCGGGGCAGCAGGTGCCTGTAGTTCCAGCTACTTGGGAGACTGAGGCAGGAGAATCACTTGAACCAGGATGCGGAGGTTACAGTGAGCCAAGATCACACCACTGCACTCCAGCCTGGGCAACAGAGCGAGACTCCGTCTGAAAAAAAAAAAATCCCATGTGGTCTTCATTTACATTTTCTATTTTTTTCTAAGACTTTCTATTTTTTCATTTGTTTCAAGTGTGTTTGCAATTGCTTATGATGCATTTCATGATGGCTGCTTAAAATTTCTTGACAGATGATTCTGTGTGTTATCTCAGTGTTGGTGCATATTGATGATCTCTTCTCATTAAATTTGAGATTTTCTTGATTCCTAGTAAAATGAGAGATTTTCAATTGATTCCTGAACATTTTGGGTATTTTATTATGAGATTCTGGATTTTATTTAAATGTTTATATCTAATTTTAACATGGTTAGCAGGCCTCCTTTCACCCCCAACTAATGAGGAAAGAAGGGCACTGCCTTGTTATTGTGAGAGGAGGGTTGAAATTAAGATTTCCTACTGGTCTCTGCTGAAACCACTTTGATTGAAAGGGAAGGTGGCTTCATTATTGCTGGGTGGGAGTGGAAGCTTCCAACTAGAGATCCCTGTGATATCACTCTATCAAGGAAGGAGAAGAGTCCCATGTGGCCTCCGCTGAACCCATAAGAGAAGTATCTGGCTGGGTGCGGTGGCTCACGCCTGTAATCCCAGCACTTTGGGAGGCTGAGGCAGGCAGCTCATCTGAGGTCAGGAGTTTGAGACCAGCCTGACCAATATGATGAAAACCCGTCTTCAATAAAAATACAAAAATTAGCTGGGCATGGTAGCATGTGCCTGTAATCCCAGCTACTCAGGAGGCTGAAACAGGAGAATCACTTGAAGCTGGGAGGCAGAGGTTGCAGTGAGCTGAGATTACGCCATTGCACTTTAGCCTGGGCAACAAGAGGGAAACTCCCTCTCAAAAAAAAAAAAAAGAAAAGAAAAAAGAAAACCTACAAAAATTAGCCAAGCGTGGTGGTGGGCATCTGTAGTCCCAGGTACTCAGGAGGCTGAGGTAGGAGAATCACCTGAACCCAGGAGGCAGAGATCGCAGTGAAAACACTGCACACCAGCCTGGGTAACAGAGTAAGACTCAGTCTCAAAAAAAAAAAAAAAAAAGTTCCTCCATTTAATCTTCTGTTTGTCTGAAGGTATTGTCCACTGTCATTTTTGCTTGTGTAATTTCTAGAATAGACTTTATTTCTGAAATAACTTTTCATCTATTCTAATTTGCTCCTGAGTTCTGTTACCTCAGTCCTAAACATCTTATTTTTTCCAATCATAACATTTCTGAATTTTTCTAATTCTTATATTGATTTTTCATAGTCCCTTTTATTTTCTCAATGGTTTTCTTTTGTTTTAACGGTAAATCTTTCTGTTACGCTTTCATTGTCAATAGGGACATTATGGTATTATTCCTTATCTTCCTCTTTTTTGTAATGACCATGTATGGTCTTCAATTGAGTAGTTTTAATTGCTTTTCTTTTTTTTTTTTTTTTTTTTGAGATGGAGTCACCCAGGTGGGAGTGCTGTGGCATAATCTCAGCTCACTGCAACTTCTGCCTCCTGGGTTCAAGTGATTCTCTTACCTCAGACTCTCAAGTAGCTGGGATTACAGGTACACCCCACTACACCTGGCTAATTTTGTATTTTTAGTAGAGACAGGGTTTCACCATGTTGGCTAAGCTGGTCTTGAACTCCTGACCTCAGGTGATCCACCTGCTTTGGCCTCCCAAAGTGCTGGAGTTACAGGTGTGAGCCACCATACCTGGCCTAATTGCTCATTTTTAAGTGCAATAAGCCAAAATGGCACCATTGCACTCCAGCCTAGGTGACAGAGCGAAACTCTGTCACACACACAAAAAAGAAAAGACAAAGAAAAGAAAGGCTATTCTTCGTATTGCTCTTTTCTAAACAGAATGTATAGACCCTGTTTGTTTTTTTTTTAAACTTTTTTTTTTTTAAAGATGGGGTTTCACCATGTTGGTCAGGCTGGTCTTGAACTCATGACCTCAGGTGAACTGCTCGCCTTGGCCTCCAAAGTGCTTAGATTACAGGCATGATCCACCACACCTAGCCTAGACCCTGTTGACTCATGTTGCTGTTCAACTATGTCACTATCAATCTTTTTCCTCCTGAATCTGTTAATTCCTAATACAGGGCTGACAAAGACTCCAACTACAATAGCAGATTTGTTTACTTCTTTTTGCAGTTCTATCAGTTTTTTTCCCCCTCATGTATTCTGATACTAGAGCACACACATAAAGGATTATGTCATCTTGAAGAACTGATCTCATTATCATTATGCAATGCCCCTCTCTTTATATATATATATATATTTTTGAGACAGGGTCTTGCTCTGTCACCAAGGCTGAAGTGCAGTGTTGCAATCATGGCTCACTGCAGCCTTGAACTCCCAGGCTCAAGTGATCCTCTTACCTCAGCCTTCTGAATAGCTGGGACTACAGGCACATACCACCATGCCTGGCTAACTTTTGTGTTTTTTGTAGAGATGACATTTCACCACGTTGCCTAGTTTGGTCTCAAGTGATCCTCCTGCCTTGGTCTTCCAAAGTGCAGGGGTTACAGGCATGAGCCACTGCATCTGACCTTCTTTATCTTGATATTTTTCCTTGCTCTGAAGTTGACTCCATCTGAAACTAATACAGTTTTCTTTTTCCTTACATAGAGATGGGGTCTCATTATATTGTCCAGGGTAGTCTCAAACTGCTGGCCTGAAGTGATCCTCCTGCCTCAACTTCCCAAAGTGCTGAGCTCATACCTCCGGCCTTTTTTTGGTGTGTTAGCACAATAAATCTTTCTCCATTCCTTAACACATCTGTGTCTAAATTTAAAATTATTTCTTATAGACAACAGATGTTGGGTCTTGTTTTTAAATTGCCATTATTATTATTTGAGTCAGGGTCTCTCTGTCGCCCAAACTGGAGTTCAGTGGCACAATCACAACTCACTGCGGTCTTGACCTCCTGGGCTCAGGTGATCCTCTGCCTCTGCCTCAGCCTCGGCCTCAGCCTCGGGAGTAGCTGGGACTACATGCATGCGCCACCAAACCCGGCTTTTTGTATTTTTTATAGAGATGGGGTTTTGCCATGTTGCTCAGGCTAGTCTTGAACTCCTGGGCTCAAGCAATCTGCCCACCTTGGCCTCCCAAAGTGCTGGAATTATAGGCATGACCCACCGTGCCTGGCCCTTTTTAAAAAATTTATGTATTTGGACCATTCCTAAAGTTGCCCTTGCTATTTCTTTTCTTTTTCTTTCATTTTTGTCTCCTCCAGTTTTAACTGATCATTAAATATAATTCCATTTTCTCTTTTCTCTTAACATAGCAGTTACACTTTTTTGGGGGGGAAGGGACAGGGTCTCACTCTATCCCCCAGGCTGGAGT